GTAAACACCCCACACATCATCTTTATGGAATTGAAGCAAGGGTGCTAGGAAATAGATTGAATTGACTAAAAGAAGACACACTTTATTTTGTGTGTCTTTATTTTGAAAGTGGAGCTGTGAGGACAACGAGTATCTTAACCAGTCACACGAAAGTTTGCTGATCGATACACCAATGATGCAGAAGGAAAGAGCTGGTTTGTGCTACGTGGTGGCATCTGACAGATACCGGCAGGTGTTTCTGACTTATTGCTGGGTGACCGTTGTTTCACACTTAAGGTCACTGGTCACAGACACCTGCGTTTTTGCATGTTATTGCTGAGACCGCAGAAGTGCGCTGAGGGGTTAAGCAATTTGCCTAAGGTCACATGTAGGGAAGGGGAGGAGACGGGTTGCCATTCAGGTCTGTGTGACCCCAAAGCCCAGCGCTGCCCATCACCATGTTTCACAGCAGAACGTGGAACTCGTGACTCGTGTGAGTGGCACGAGTGTGACACTGGGATACAAATCATTACTATGGCACCTCTGGGCCCCGTGCTGTGCGGCTGGACTGGTTCTGGGCCTTTGGTGAAGCTTTGGGTTGGTCAGGAAGTGGACTTGAACAGAAGGAGAAGGAGAAGGAAAGGGGGAAGGCGAAAGAGTGGTGGGGGGAGGAGGAGGGAGGAAGGAGGGAGACAATTGCGGGCTGCATTAAGCACAGTCTAATGCCATTAAGGATGTTCTTTCCGTGTGTTTCGGATGAATGGCGGTCTCCCTATGATGACAGAATTCCCAAACCGAATCTCTCCCTGAAGGAACCTGATAGTATGCAGCTCAGGCCTCAGCTTCCAGCCTGCAGGGAAGATTAGAGAAATGACCCTTTGGACCTGTTTCCTCATCACTTGATGGGGCCTTGGGATGCTGGGCAGACTGGATGGCACTGAGGCTGGCTTGGAGGGCATGGAGAGGCTTCAGCCGCTGGTATGGCCCGGAGAGTAAAGACAGGATTTCTTTCTCTTCCCTAGGCTGATGCCCATTAACCCACTGACCCATCTAGGCTGGGTCTCTGGCTCAACTCATTCCTCTGGAAGAGATGGGTATGAGAAATGCTACACAAGGACTGAATACAGGAGCTTTGGGGGTGCAGTTTCAACGGGGGTGTTGAGAGAGTAACTAGGAATGGGAGCTCTCCACAATTAGATTTTGATTAAGGAATAACGTCTTTGTAAATTAGTTTCCACCTTCCATGTTTGCATTTTTAAATTCTTCCTTCTTTCCTGGTAATGGCAGGCTGATCTGTTGGCTCAGAGTCCTCACTCCTCCCAGGTATTCACAGCCTTTTCTGTGTGATTCTGTAGTTCCTTCCGCTAGAGAGAACGCATTCGTTGTTGTCATGTGACTTGTTTTGGCCAGTGGGCTGTTAACAGATTTCCAGGCAGGCACTAGACATCTACTTGCACGGTTGGGCTTATTTTTTCATGCATCTGCCTCCCTCATCATGAGAAGCAGCCAAGCTAGCCCACTGGTCTAAGGAGGATAAGAGACGCATGAAGCAGATCTGGTCCCAGTTTGCAGCTTGGAGCAGCCCCGCTGAGCTCAGCCTGTATCAGGTTGGCTACAGCCAATACACAAATGCGGGAGTGAAATGCAAGCTTTGTATTTTGTGCTGTTGACATTCTATGGTTGGTAACAGCTGACTGATACATCAATAGGAGTTCCTCTTAATGCACTCTAATGCTTTCTTTGGTGAATTTATAAGTAAAATAATGTTACAAACCTTGGTCAGGATACCTCCTGGAGCTAGATGTTCCCAAGTCCAGAAAGCCTTCTCTACATCCTGCGGAGGGCTGGGGCAAGTCTGGAAGGGAAGGAGTTGGGAGATGCTGATCACTCTAGAATAAGAATCTGTTATTAGAGCTTGAATAAATAGTTTGTTGTAAATGAAATACTCCTTTTCTCTTTAGGCTAAAGCTTTAGGGTGTTCAACTCTGATGAGGTAAACAGACTGTTTGAGAGGGAGTTTTTGGATGTGCCTGGAATTTGCACAGTCTGAAATGCCAGACTGCGAGACTCTATGTGAACCCCAGGATTAGGAAGAACTCTGTTGCCTTCGAGTCCATCTTCCTGCTTTTAGGAAGGACCATATATATATATTTAAGTTTATTTATTTATTTTGAGAGAGAGAGCACAAATATGGGAGAGGCAGAGAGAGAGGGAGAGAGAGAGAATCCCAAGCAGGCTCCGTTTGCACTGTCAGCGTAGAGCCTGATGCGGGGCTCAAACTCACGAACCATGAGATCATGATGGTTGGCTGAAGTTGGCTGCTTAACCAGCTGAGCCACCCAGGCATCCCAGGAAGGACTACATTTTTAAACATAATATATTTTTTTTCTGATTTGGCAGAAATATGCATTTTGGAAAATACAAGAAGCAATAATGAAGAAAAATGAAAATCATTTATAAACCTACCAGTCAAAGATAATTAAATCAACATTTTGGAATTGTCCCTGTGACTTTTAAAAATATATTTTATCCTGCTTATTTTTAGTGCATAACTTTATATCTTGAGGATTTTTTTTCATGTTGTGACTTTGTAAATATCTGTTTCACTGAATGCTACTACTTCTTAGGTAGTTATTTTTGATACCAATCCCCTAACATTAGTAATTTAGTAATTTCCAATTTTTCACACGTGTAATACTTAAATATTTTTTGTGCAGTTTTTCTGAGTTTCTATTATCTTCTTAGAATAGATTCCTAGAAGTGAAAAATGAGTATTTTTAAGACTTAGGAAATAATTTCTGAAGTTAATCGCACCAATTTACATTCTTACCTGATATATGTGAGAGTGTCTATTTCACTTTTCCCAATATACTTTGCGGGTGCATTAAACATCTTTGTTGTTAAAATGAATTTTTTTTAAAAAAGGTATTTTATCGTAATTCTCTGAAGTCTGTGTCTATTCCATGCCTCCTCTGAGGTCGCTCAGTTAGCTGGAGAAACAATCACGCTGGTTGGTTTCACTTAAATCTATAACTAGTGATCTCAACTGAGCTTTTGTTTTTGCCTGGCAATCTGCCTCTGTTTTCCACTCTCCTAAACTATTTCACACCTTCTCGCTTTCCTCTAACCTCTGTCTCCCTCCTCACTCTCTGCCGATGGCCTCAGTCCGTATTTCATTGAGGACACGAATAGAGCTCCCACACGCTTCCCTGACCATCCTGCCTGTATTGATGCCCATTTACTCTGATCTGGGGTCAGACCCTTTCAATGCTCTCTAGATTTAATTCTTTCTTGCCCACCTAAGCTCTTCACTTGGGCAAGTCTCTTCTTTTTCTCCTGCATTATTCCAGTTATCATACAAACGTGCTCTAATGCTTCCTATCTTAAAAACAAAACAAACCTCCAAATCGCCATTGGCTTCATGTCTCCTTTCCACATCTAGTGCAAAGTCCTCGAAAGATTTGTGCCACTGTCTCTGCTTCCTTTTCTCCCATTCCCTTTGAGTAGGTTTCACTCTGCCCAAATGGCCGCTGTCAAGGTACCCAACGATACTATGTTGCCAGTAGTCAATGCAGCTTCTTGACCTCTGTAGCATTTGAAATAGTTGGTCGTTCCTGAAGAGTTACTTCATATTGGCTTCTGAGGTACTGATTCTCTTGCCTAGTGGTTGCTTTTCTCAGTGTCTTTGCAGTTTCTCTGTATCTCCATCTTAAGTTTGAAGGCTCCAAGGTTTAGCGCTTGGATCTCCTCTCCTCTTTATTTACTTTGTCTTTTGAACAGCTCAGTCTCATGACTTTATATGACATCTACATACTGATGACTCCAAAATCGGTATCTCCAGCATGATCTTCTCCCTGAGCCCCTGACTCATGCATCTAACTGCCTGCTTGATTTTGCCAATTGGTAATCTAACATCTCAGAATCATCACATCCAAACAATCTCCTGATTCCTTCCTTATCATCAATACACAGTCGTCCTCAGGCAAACACTCTCCTTCCACGAGTTTGTCGAGGCCCAAAACTTTGGAGTCAGTTTTGATTCTTCTCTTTCTTTCATACTGCTGATCCAATCTGTCAAGGATTCTGTTGACTCTACTTCCAAAGGATGCCACGTCCACCCCTCACTACCTTCAGCACTCCCAGCCTGGTCCGAGCCACCGCTGGTTCTCCCCTGGATGACGGCAAAGCCTCCCAGTTAGTCTCCATCATTCAGCCTTTCCCATTCCCCCTTTCCCCCTCTTCTATCCTCCACACAGTGGCTGACTCATCCTTTTAAAGCTAAATTCAGATCATGTCACTCCTCCCGGCAAACCCTCCCATGGTCTGCCATCCGCCACACACAGAGTAAAGCCGAGGTCCTGGCCTCCAGGCCCCATGCCCGCCAGGCCCTGCTGCTCTCTGCCTCATCTCCTCCCACTGCCCCCTTGCTCGCTGCGCTCCAGCCGGATGGGCCTCCTTGCTGTTCCTCAGGCATGCCCAGCTTAGGGCCTTTATGCTCACTGTGTGCTCTGTCAGCGTCTTCTTCCCCAGCTAGCTCGTTGCTTTAGCCTCCTTTCCTTTTTGCCTCTTTTCCTGGATGTCCCGAGGGGGCCGCCATGGAAAGGCCTTTGCAGAGAGGAGTAACAGCCCAACCAAATGATCGATGCAGGTGTTCTTGTCAAGGGGACTACAAAAGAGCGCCCCCATTGATTGGGGGGTATCTGCTACGAACCCACTCTTGCCCCACGAGAGGGAGATTCAGCTTCCAACACCTTCTTATCCCAGAGAGAGCCTGACAGGGAGGAGCTTTCTTTCCTCCTAATGCCTCACGTCTCTGTGCTCCTCATCCCCCTCCCACTGTCCCAGGAGACGTAACAAATGCTGGTGAACAAGGTGGTGAAGGAGGGGTAAGAGGAGTAAAAATAAAGTTTTATTAAAGTCTTTATCATGTCTTAATATTTTCAAAGAGAATGACCATTTTTATTTTATGCTTGTTTAATTGACATTTATTTATTTAATATTTAATTAAGATCGTCCATTAAAATTAAAAATATCTATCAAGTAAAGATGAAGTGAGATGACGTACTGCCGCAGACCTGAGCTGAATGGTTCAGCCCAACCCACTGCAGCTCATTTCCACCTCCTGCAAGTCTCTCAGGGCAGCAGCTGGTTTTGGAAAAAAGTCTGGGGGCAGAGCCTGGAGCCATAGGTAGGATGGGGGAGAGGAAGATCTTCCTGTTTTTCCCTAATGCTCTTCACTTTTTCATGTTTCACAGTAATCTGTTTTCCAACAGTACGTCAGCAGCTGGGTTTTTTAACCGGAAGCAAGAAACACATCATTGGAGCATTGGAACTGAAATACATTTTAGGTTCGCAGCTCAACAAATAGTAAGAAAAGGCTCTCTCTATGCCAGGCCCCGTGCATGGTGCTGGAGATTGCAACTAAGGTAAGATTACCATGGCCCCTCTCAGGGGATCAGACAGGGAATCAGGTGACGCTGTGTGAATGGGGACCTGGACAGGAGGCGCAGGAAAGGAATTCCAGCGTGTGCTATCAGGGAAGGCTTCCTGGAGGAAGTGGATATACGCAGAGATTGGAAGACAGAGACGGTGAGTGAATACAGCCAGAAGGACAGAAGAAAGAGCGTTCTGGCCACAGGGATCAGAAGATACCCACCCCGGCCCACTTGCCACATGCAGCTTTAGTACATGGATTATTTTGAGCTGAAGGCACTTGAGGAATAGCAAATGCAGTAAGGGCTCCCTGACTTTCCTCTTTCTATCTAAAAGCAGGTGATAGAATTTCTCCTGAGAGCAATGCCCCACCTGAACCAGGAAGAGAACGTTCTTCACCATGGAGGGTGGGAGTTGATGCTGCAAAGGCTCTGTACAAACCAGCCCACTGAAGTAACTCTTATCTTTTTTTGGTTTCCCCCACGTATTTTTCAGTCACCGCTGCACAATTTACTGCCCCGCGCCCAAGGCATGCTGTCTTATTACATCCCCACAATTGGTCACGTTTGGGGCCCAATGCCTTCCTCAGGTCTTTATTTTCCTTTTGAGGACTTGCGTGTACATGTAAACATACCAGATAAAATGTGTACGCTTTTCTCCTCTTGGTCTGTCTTATGTCAGTTTAATTCTTAGCTCCTCCTTAAGAGGGGAAATTATTCCTTCTCTTTTTTTTTTTCAATGTTTATTTATTTTTGAGAGAGAGAGAGTGTGTGAGGAAAGGGTGGGGTTGGGGGGGCCAGAGAATCCAAAGTGAGCTCTGTGCTGACAGCAGCAAGGCTGATGAGGGGCTCGAACCCATGAACTGTGAGTTCAGGACCTGAGCCAAAGCCTGATATTCAGCTGAGTCACCCAGGCATCCCAAATTATTCCTTCTCTATACAGCTGAGGATGCATCATGAGGGTGGCACCGAGGGCCTGAGAGGCTAATCATCCCTGAGCCTGACGAGATCGATAAACATTGCAAGCTGCCCTCAGCTGTCTTGTGGGGAAATGGGGCATCCTGTGGCTGCACTTGGGCCATCCGCTTTGAGCCCATGCGTGACGACCGTGGTCTCTATGGAGAGGTCCCCAAGGAGCAGGAGTTCTGGAGGACATGGGGCTGGGCCTTCTGGCCGAGTCTACTCACCATGAGCTTTTTACACTTCTGCCAATATGGGACGGTCCAGGGAGATAGCAGGTTTTCTTAAATCTTTAGATGCAGTTTGGTTGATCGGCTGTTTTAGTCCTCAGGAATGGGATGGAGATTGTTCTGTGGGGAGGTGATGGAGAGGTGATGGAGACCGTTCTGTGGGGAAGTGATGGAAAGGTGATGGAGACTGTTCTGTGAGAGGTGATGGAGACCATTCTGTGGGGGAGGTGATGGAGACCGTTCTGTGGGGGAGGTGATGGAGACCGTTCTGTGAGAGGTGATGGAGACTGCTTTCTGGAGAGGTGGTGATAGGGTGTTAGAGCTGGAAGCTCACTCTGGAGCATGGCACACGGCCCCAGAGGACACTCCTGGTAGGTGTGTGGCGGGAGGCTCTCAGAGGCTGGGAAAGTCTAGGGATGTCAAGGACCTCTGTCAAACAGAGCTGGCAATGAGAAGGGAGCGGACCAGCAGTGGGGGAGAGATAATGGGGTCTGGAGACAGACACTTTGGCCTGGGGCTAGCCTTGACTAAATAATTATAACCAATGCTTATGAAACATTTATATGCTAGAATCCTTCCAACGTGTTTTACCTTGAATATATTAACTCAATACACTCCCCTGGTTACCCAAGGAGACTGAGGCATGGGAGGGTTAAGTAACTTCCCTAGTATGCAGCTGATCAGCAGCAGAGCCAGCTCTCAGTGATGCTGGACAGTAATGACGATGACATTAATGTGTACACAGTACGTGTTTTGCTCTGGCATTGTTCTGTGTTCTAGAGAGTCAGCACTGAACAGGAGCAACAAAGTCCCCACTCTGTGGGGCTTACAGTCTAGTGGAGAGACAGACAAGAAAACCACACAATACATAAATCGAAAAATAACTTTAGAGAGTGACACATGCTACAGAATGTTAAGGCCAGGGGCTGTGACAGAGGGGGACAAGAGAGGAGTTCAGGAAGCTCACTAAGTGGATGACTGTATGAATGAGCAGTTGGGGGCTCAGAGCCTAACAGGTACCTCATATATTAAGACCACCCTAAGCACGTGGCACTCAGTCTGAAGCCCAAGGTCTCTTCCTGGCCTCACTGGAAGCAGTGAGCGGAGCTGTCTTGAAGTCATCTCATCCAACTGTTTATTCCTTAGACACCTGAGAAGCCACCTCATAGCTGTGGCCATCCCGGAGCTTAATGTATAATACATAAAGGTGTGTTTTTTTAAAAAAAAAAAAATCTTTTCCCAATGTGTCCAGTGATGTCAGGGTTTTAGGATGGTTATTTCATTATGCATTTATCCTATCATTAAATGTGTTACTATGTATGCTCAAAAAGAGATCCCTTGGGAACAAAGAATCATATCTTTTGAATAATAATATTCCCTCTGCTAAGCATCCTAAAGCTACTGACTGGTCTTTCTTGAAAAAAATTTATCATCAGTTTATCCTTTATTTTATCATTCTGGGATGGGTTGTGAATGGAGAGGGAAAGTATCCCAGTTAAAAAAAAAATGTTTATTTATTTTTGAGAGAGAGAGAGAGAGAGAAGGGCAGAGGAAGAGAGAGGGAATCCCAAGCAGGCTCTACGCTGTCAGCACAGAGCCCAATGTGGGGCTTCAACTCAGAAATCGTGAGATCATGACCTAAGCCAAAACCAGGTGCCCTTCAACTTTAGTGCAATTCAAAGCAAATACCAGAGAAAGGTCAGTGTCTTTGCATGGGACCTCCCTCTGCACAGTAAACATATGGAGCATAAAAGCATTTCAAGAGTTCTACGGGAACAGAGCCACTGGATGGCAGACTGTGGAGTGTCACACCAGGCCCGCACCCACCAGCCCTCTGAGCCTTAAAACCTGTGGGAGAGGGTCCTGTCGGATCTCCTAGAAAACATCTGAGTTGCTTGAAGGAGAGCAGCAGGTAGGGAAGGCCGGTGCCCTGAGGTCTGGGACGCCAGGCCCCATGCTGGGTTCTTACCATCGCTTCACTGTCCCCCGGGGTCCAGCACAGGCGCCTGGCAGTGAGGCTCTCTGCTTTCTGTGCATCCCCCTCCCATCTGTCCCGGTCCTGCTCTGGTCATCACCTGGCTGGGGGTAAGGGCAGCTTAACTGTAGCAGCCCGGGGAGGAGGGCCCAGCCAGGGGGGCTGGGATTCTAGGGTCAGCAAATGTGGCCCCAGGTGTGGGAACAGGAAGGACAAGGCAGGGAGCAGCTGGCAGTAGGCAAAACCCACGAAGTTCCAGCGAGTCCAGCTGGTGTGGGGATAGCAGGATGGCAGTGTTGAGTCAGGTGACAGAGGTGAGTCAGGTAACAGGGGTGAGTCAGGTGACAGGGGTGAGTCAGGTGACAGGGTCAAGGGCTTCCTCTGGGAGCAGGTTTCAGAGGAGAGCACAGGCAGGGAAGGCATGGCCTCATCAGCTGACCGCGGTGAGTGTGGACGAGCTATGTCATTTCACCCGGCCTCCATTTTGTCATCTGCGAAAGGATGGCTATGTTCTTCTGCACCTGACTGGGCTGCCCGCCGAAATGAGGTGCTTACAGCGATGGCGGGCCTGGGCTCCGGGCAGGCTACCCCTGCAGGAAGGCGCAGGTTCAGTTCTCGGCCAAGCGCCTGTGAGGCTTGGGTCTGGAAGGCAGGGCTGAGGTCAGAGCTGGGCCTCAGGGCGGGGCCCGAAGAAACCCGGGGTTAGAACCAGCTTCCCACAGAGGTGGTGGGACCAGTTGCATAAGGTGGCCAAGGTTAGGAAGGTATCTTGTGAAGTAAGTTCGGAGGGAAATGCCTCCTGATACAGCTCCTCCTTGGAAAGTTCTAAAACCTCCATCCTATTAACGGCTTTGAGAGTCCTGCACTTCCCCCCTTTCCCTGAGTACTCACCAACATGCCAGGAACTGTCCATGCCAGAGTCTTTTCGGTTTAAAAATTCTCCACCTTCCTGCTCCCTCTGGAGAACATCAGTCTTCGGGTTGGGTCGGGGACAGAGGCCTTGGATGCAGCCCAGCCACAGGGCTCTGCAAGAGCATGCGGTGGGGCTGACACTATTTTCTTTTTATTTAAAAAAAAAAATGACCTCTTAATGCTGAATAATTATAGAGTTATAAGAAAGTTGCAAAGATAGTTCAGAGAGTTCCCACATACCCTTCACCCAGCTTCCCCCAAATGTTCAGTCTGTTACACATACACCACAGTACCTTTGTCAGAGCTGAGAGATGAACATCGAACAATACACCTACTCGTCTGTAGACTTCACTCCCATGGCACCAGTTTTTCTACCCCATCTTCTTTCTGTTCCAGGACTCAATCTGTAATACCACATGACATCATGACATTTAGGTCATTTTCCTTTTTTGTTCCTTATCTCTCCCACCCTCCAGTTCAGTGTGTGTGTGTGTGTGTGTGTGTGTGTGTGTGTGTGTGTGTGTGTACCTCCTGGTTCTCCCATCTCATGGATGGGACAGTGAAGTGAGTGCAGGAGTCCTCTGTACTGGGGACAAGTTCCTGTGACCTTTTGTGAGATGAGCAGTGGCTACAGGAAGAGAAGCCCACAGTGTGGCCAGGTAGAGAGGGACTGGGGACCTGATCACCCATCATGAGCAGAGGAGGCTGAAGCCAGGCAGGCTGAGAGAGCAGCTGTCTGCCTCTGGGGAGTGACAAGAGAGAGAAACCCATGAAACTCGAGGAGCTGCTTTTTGAGGACAGCAGCCCCAACGATTCCCATCTCAGTCGTGGTTGCGGGTGGAGTGGGCCTGTGAGACAGCAGAGCACAGCGGCCCTGGTACCTGAGAGCCAGGTGGCTCGCTCAGGCTCCACGCTGTAATCCAAGGCAACTGGCCGGGCGAGGGAGAGCTCAAGCACCAAGGTGGCGTGGTGGGATTGAACTCAGAGTGTGTGCTCCAACGTGACCGAGACAGGCTAACCACCCCATTCCATGCACAGATGAAGTACGAAAGCTAGGTGGACACGGAACAGGCTGTGTAAGCTCCAGAGCTGTGTGGAGTAACAGGGAGAGACAGTTCTGGATTTCTGTGAAGACTGCGCCATACAGCAGTGGAGCAGACACTTCTAGACGCCTGCCCAACATGGATTTACTCCCTTCCTCCTTGCTAGTTCAATCCTGATTTAGTCAGGTCGCTGCCCCCTAAGTGTCTAAAACGCAGGCATGCCTGGGTGACTGGTTAAGTGACCGACTCTTGATTTAGGTTCAGGTCAGAGTCTCATGGTTTGTGACTTCTAGCCCTGTGATGGGCTCTGTGCTGACAGTGTGGTGCCTGCTTGGAATTCTCTCTCTCCCTCTGCCCCTCAGCTGCTCATGCCCTCTCTCTCTCTCTCTCAAAATAAGTACATAAAACTTAAAAAAAAAATCGAAAAGGCAAATGCTTCAGGGAGGCTGGCTTTGGGAGTAGATCCCAATTGGTCTAAACCTATCAAAGTGCTCAGATACTGCTTGCCAGGGATTGGTTTAAGCATGGGCATGTGGTACAACTCTGGGCAACAGTGTAGATGTGAGGAGTAGTCCTCTGGAGACAGGTGTGGATGTTCTGGAAAAGCATTCCTCACTCTCAAAGAGACTCAAAGGTGAAATGGCTTTCTTTCCTGAATCTTGGCAATGGAGTGCCTTGGATGTAATATCTGGAACTTTGGCAGCCATCCTGTGACTGAGACCAGTGAGCCTAGAAGAATGGACTGATGGGTCGGGCGCCTGGCTGGCTCAGGCAGTATAGTATGCAACTCTTGATCTCAAGGTCTTGAGTTCCAGCTCCATGTTGCATGTAGAGCTAACTTAAAAAAAAAAACAAAACAAAACAGGCTGATAGGAAGAATCAACACCTTCTGTAACATCACGGAATCACCAAGCCAACCCAGAACGGTTGTGGCTACCTGCCTTTGGATTGTCCCTTGAGTAAGCCAGGTGAATTGGGTTTTTCTATTACTCTCTGTCACTGAATCACCCAATGCCAGAAGATCTGTGACCTTCTGGGGCCATTCCTAGCTCTCCCTCCTTGTCCTCTGAATCCGTCCCTTAGGGATTCCTATTGTTGCTACAATAATTTCCCCAAAATATAGTGGCTTAAATCAAAACAAATGTATTTTCTTACCTTTCTGGAGGTCAGTAGTTTTTATCTAATTAATCAATTAATTTGAGAGTGAGAAAGAGAAAGAGAGAGAGAGAGAGGGAATCCCAAGCAGGCTCCACACTACCAGTGCAGAGCCCAACATGGGGCTTGAAACCCACAAACCATGAGATCATGACTTGAGCTGAATTCTAGAGTTGGACTCTTAATTGACTGAAGCACCCAGGTGCCCCTGGGGGTCAGAAGTTTAAAATCAAGGTGTTGCCAGGTTGTGTTCTATCTGGAGGCTCCCAGAGAATGCTGTTCTTTACCTCTTAAGCCTTCCTTTACTTGTGACCCTTCCTCCCACCACTCAGACCTCTGTTTCCCTTTTCACATCTCCTGCTGCTCACTCTGACCTCCAGCCTCCCTCTTGTAAGGACCTTTGTGATTGAACTGGGCCCACAGATGATCCAGGATAATCTCCCTATCTCAAGGTTCTTAATTCAATCCCATCTGCTGAGTTCCTTTGCCATGTAAGGCGACACGCTCTCAGGTTCTGCTGATTGGAGTATAGACATCTTTGGAGGATGTTTTTGAGTCTAACACTCTCCCAAAGGTGATCGGTACATCCCTTCCTGGTCCACAGATGACGGTGGTTCCTGTGGTGTCTGCACTGCACTGCACTGGTGGTGCATGACTTGCACAGACCACCAGTCTGACATGGTTCACTTAGTATTTCCCACTGCCGACTAGGAAGGGTCTTCTTGAGTCTAGTATCTGGTCCTGGTGGGAGAGGTGAGCCTGAGTCAGAAAGAGACAGAGATTGTGGATGTAGAGTGAACTTCACTTACTTCAGAGTGGAGAGAAATAGAGGCCTTGTGTGTTCTCAAGCTAAAAAAGATGTTAGAGGCCTACCAGATGATGGCTTAAATGAGGTTCAGATTTACCTTAGAAATGCACCGCTTTTGAGGGCCCTTATTGACGTCAGAGCCCCAGGAACTCTGAGATCAGGGTGCTTGGGCTTCTCTCAAGGGATATGAGCATCAGAGTTAGATTTTAATACCAACAGGCCATTGATCTGTTTCTCATTCATTCTGGACACTTGGCTAGGTTTGTGCTGGGGAGAATTCAGAAGAACTGCACGGTCAGCTTTGGGGAGCTTTCCAGCCATTTCCCTCCTTTATGCCACATGCTGGGCTTCTGGCTGGGCCACGGAGTACCATGTATGAGTCCCAAGTGTTTTCTCCATATTGCAGCCCAGAACACATCTTCTGCCTTCTGCCTTTGCAACACGTCTGGAGCAAAGGTCGCCTTGACTATAAAATGATGGGATGGGAACAGTCTCAAAGATTTACAACTTTCAAATGCCATGGCTTGTGGTTGGGAAAGAGACATGGAAGAGAAATTTTTGGGGCCAGAAACAATGAGGCCAGAGCATTTTAGGGCCTCTTACCCTTAGCCCAACCTCACCAAAGGATGTGGAGGGAAGATGGACAAAGTTAGCCTTGGGTGACCATCTCTCATAGCCTGAGGTGGGTGTTATTTTTCTGGCCTCTTGGGTGATTCCATGTCTCTACCCGCTACCTTCTGTCTAGCCTCCTTTAAGGCAGTTCCACGGGTGGGAAGATGCAGCATCTTTGGTGTAGACCAGTCCCACTAAGAGAAGCAGGTCAATGACCCAGGAGATAATGAACAAATTTTGTTTGGAGAATAAACCACTTCTTGAGGGCAAAGCTACAACATTCTTTTGTTGGTCTAGATTCTAGTGCTCATGCCTTTGCCTTGGTGAATCTCCAGAGAACTATGCACGTCCAAAGAAAGGTTTTATTTACTAGCTGAAAGAGGAAGACTAGAAGGGAGGAAATGGGAACCTTTATCCCCCAAAAGGTGAGCATGGTGGATGATGCCGTCAACAGCTGATGTGGACGGATTACCAGGGCTGGCACCGCAGTGCTCAGTTGGCATGGTTCTGTCACAATGAAAGTCCTTGCCTTCTCAAGTCTCACTCTTCCCAGCTGGATTATGAAATCTCTGCCTTTTTCCCACCCAAAGCAAGTTGTGGTACATCAATGGGTTAAGGCATGTAGCAAAAGAGCCCTTTGGAAAAGAGAGTCTTGACCTGGCAATCTTGTACTCATGGGAGCAAGACCAGCACAGCGTGTCTTGCCGTCTAGTGCTGACTGCCTCGAAGCCCCACGGTCAGTGTGAATCTCCCTCAGAGACCACACATGCAATCGGTGCGGGGAGGCTTCTGGGAAGGCATCAGACTTTTCAGACACAGTCATAAGTGAGGGAAAAGTCCCACAATGTGGACATTCACTGGACTAAGGAGGTGGCTTTCATGCATGATTTTGGCTTTTGTCAGTGTTGTGGTTGGAAGTTCAGCCTGGTCCATTCAGTTGTTTTGGGTTCTGCGCCAAGGGTGGCTGGGGAGATCCCTGAGGATTCCCTAGACGTACAAGGTCTGATTCATCCTGCCCCAGCCCAGCGTGATGACAGACACGGTCTGATTTCAGGCAGAGAACAACAAAAAAGTGTTAATAAGAGAGAAACCTACTAGATGCTTCTGGAAGCATTTCAACTTTGTGCTCTTCCCTTATCTCCTTTCCCACACTCAGCGGCAAAATAGCTAGAAAACCACAGGCTCCAAGGAGTCTCTGGAGAGGGGGGTGGTGGTGGTGGTGGTTAGAGCCTGTTTTCTAGAAAGCCGAGATAAAATGGGAAGCAGGCACACACATCCACACTGGGACATTTTGCTTCAGTGATGGCAGAAAGGTGGATATTGTTTTGAGATCTGTAAAGGGGAGATGAGGCATCAGGTATTAGGGCTGAGGGAGTTCCTCAAGAGTGTGACCACTGGGAGGCCATTCTGTCCACACTGTCCATTGGCTGAGGGCACTGGATACTTGATATACCCATGAGAGGCAGAATTTGGGGAAGATGGCATAAAGGAATCCCCTCTCTGGGCAAGAAAATGGGAGAGCCTCTTTCAGTCAGGGTGCATAGCTGTAAGCAGAAGCAAATGGCCCTGGCTGATTAATCAAGGAGAGAATTAATTTATTAATAAGACACTGAGCAACTCACAGCATCTCCAGGAGCACTGGGCACCTGGTTTGGAAGCTGCACACCAAGGACTGCACCCCAACTCCCGCATATGGAGAGGCATTTGCTCTGCTGAAGGGCCCACCGCCAACACCCCGACACCGGGCACTGGGTGCTGGCTGGAAACAGATCCCCTGCTGCCTCTAGACACAAGAAGCCCTGCTCCTGTGATGCCATCACCCACT